ATAAATATTATAATCAGGCATCGGGAGTGATGGCTCAAGAAATACAATTGGATTTTCTGTCTGAAATGATAAGTCATAGATGGTACTTAGGAATTAATCTATTCTGGCGTCCTGGCAACTATGAATATTCAAAGGAGGAAACATTGTTCCCCGTTGAAAGCTGCTGGCATGTATATGGATTGCTGGGTTTTGCAGGCGGGTTTTACTGGGATGAGGGGGCTCATTAGGAGTGTGATGTTATTAGCAGTTTTTCTCCAGTTGCTAATTTCCATCATACCAGTATTATGGTAATGATGAAATTAAATTAAATTAGCATATCGTATAGCATACTGCAAAACTGTGAATATATTATAGTAATACAAGGCAACAGATAATTGCCAGCTTAATAAGAATTCCTCCTCAGCAAAGATAATTCAACCTTTTTCTTCTTCCAATCAGCAGCGGCAGATTTCCTGGTTATTGATTATCTCTTCATCCTCTATCAATCCCGCCTGAGCAGCTTCTTGATTATTTGAAAATGTCTCTCCTCTAAATGCCTTAAATTCCCTGTCATTTGTCAGCGCGTTTGCGCCGTACCTGGCCCTGCCTTTGCACATGTTGAGTTACGGTTCCTCCTCCTGCTTGCAGTTGGCATCTGATCCCTGGAAATGAATGTGACTTGATTACCCACTGCACTTTTGAGAATATTATATCCCTTTTTTCCCATATAAATCTTGCATGTTTTCTAGATTGAAGGTTTAAATCTTTTTTTTTTTTTTTTTTTTTTTTTTTTTTTTTTTTTTTTTTTTTGGCTAAAAAGTTGAAGCAAATTTTAGCAGCAGCAACTGTTTAAGTGTATTCTCCAGGATGTTATTCTCCCTAGTATTTACTTTTCGGTGAGCATGAAGGGAATAGTCTGAATTATAGCTATGTTTTCTACTTATGTCTAATAATTTTCAGACTTACTGAAATGATTTCCTTGTGAAGCCTGTGTTTAGCTCCAATCTTTTCATTTTTTCTCCATGTTCTGCAGTGCCACCGTGGTTTTTAATTCGCCCTTCGAATCTGTATGCCTACGAGAGTATGGATATTGAGTTCGAATGTGCCGTATCCGGAAAGCCGCCTCCCACGGTGGAATGGATCAAGAACGGCGAAGTGGTCATTCCTAGCGACTATTTTCAGATYGTGGTAATTACCCAGGCTTTTCTTGTTATATATTAATCTGCTGCTAGATTTGGAAAAGTATTTTCATTTTTGATCCACTTACAGCCTTAATAAACTTGCCTGAAGAGAGCAAATCATGTAGCTTCTGCCTCCTAAAGCTAATAAGGGCCGTTTTGCTCAGATTACGTCAAGTCCACTGATGTCTCCTACATTTAGTAGGATACAAGTAGTTTCTTTTCACGGAGAGATAACAGTTTCAGGACATACTTTAAGTTATTATTAATAATATTGATTACCACGTGCTAATGACTGCCTTCTTCCCCGCTGTTCTTTGTGAACAAAGATGATAGATTTTCTCTCCATAGAAATAATACCCTGGGACAGCAGATCAAGAGTGACAAACAAAGCCTCGTGCACAAGGAGGAAGAGTATAAAGCCTTGGTTTATTGATAAAGACAAACCTTCTGAGTCTCTCCTTTTAAATATAAATGTTTGAAACTTGGAGGCAGTGGAGCAAGGATTAGAGGACGTGTTGCTGGTGCCTCCCGGAGCAGAGTGAGGAGGAGGAGGATGCTCTTCTTGGTAAAGAAAGGGCAAAGCAGGATACGCAGCAGGGCATGTTTTTGGCATCTCGTAGTGAAAAGAGTGATGGTCTGAAGCAGGAGTTGAGAAATGCTATTCAATTCACCAGCCTTTTCTCAGCATCTTTCTTTCCTCCGATGGTTTTTCAGAGACGCAGGAACTAAAAACAAAACACAGGGTTTTTGTTGTCAGCCTAATTCTCATCTGCCATCTATCCTTCTGCATTGTGCTGGGTTTCCACCTTGTTTGAGGCCTGCCTTGCATTGCCTAAGCTTTCAGGGGCAAGAGGAGTCTTTTCATAGGTTGCTTTGTGTGAATCACAGCGGGTTGATAATAATGATAATGGTCGTTTGACATAATCATAATTTTTCCATGAGAATTACTGGGCACAACCCACAAAATAGCATTCCCCAACAGGTTTCCAGCCTCTTTTAGTTCAAATACCCTTATAGTTTAGGCAGTGAAGCTGGAATGGGCAGTGAGCTCTCCCTGCACACTGGTCTAGCTGTCCCCTCCTGAAGGCAGTGGCTCTCACAGGTGAGCTGAGGTGCTCATGAACCCCCTGAAAATCTCTGCAAACACAAAGTGAAGGTGTCCCCAGGCCATCAGGAGAGGGGGCTTTTCCAGAGGCATGTCTGTCCAGTGCTTTCTGATTTCCCACCTTCTAATTATCTATCCATAATAAGGTTCGTTCTTACATGTCTTTCACACGGAATGGAATTACTCTGCCATGTGGAATAGCAAGTTCAGCCTTTTTTGTACATCATTGCTTGTTAGAAAGCATTAAGTRTCCAAAGAGTGGAAAGGTCTACTGCTGTCCTGATTGTGTGGGAGCAGTAGTGGAAAATTATTTCACTTTTTAATTTTTTTTTTTAACAGAAGATAGGGTCCATCTAGAGAGTACTCTTCACATGCAGTTTTTAACCCAACATAATTGGTTTCTGCTTGTAGTAACAGGGGCCAGAAGTTAAATGTGTCTCAAATGGAGTAAGTGACCTTTTCTTGAGGATCTCCAGGCCTCAGGCTGTCAGGAGGATGTGACCTTCAGAAGAGCGTTTGTGGAAACCACGTCGACACTGGAAGCTATTTTAGATCTTCCCTTGCAGCAGAGAGCCAGGGCGAAAACGCGGAGCGCCACGCGAGTGACRCCTGTCACTTGGAGCTCCCTGCTGCAGAAGGGTGTTGGGTTGGCCCTGGGGACACGGGGACTTCACGGTGGGCTCCTTCTGTGGCACAGAGCCTGCACAGACACCACCGCTGTCACTAGATTCCTAATGAAGGGCCTTATTATTAAAGGCCTCTAAGGACCAGGGCTGTACAAGTAGACTTAAGACTCCATACATGGTACCTTGCTTGGTGGAATAGCGCTTGTGTGAAAGTCTTGCAGCCCCGCTCTGTTGGATGACTTTGACCGATTTTCCCACTCTCTTTCTCTTTTGCCTTCTCTCCAGGGTGGCAGCAACTTGCGGATTCTGGGCTTGGTAAAGTCAGATGAAGGTTTCTACCAGTGCGTAGCTGAAAATGATGCTGGAAACGCACAGACCAGTGCACAGCTAATCATCCCGGAGCCGGGTAAGATGCGAAGGACGCGCAGAATTGTAGATAAAATTAATGTCATTAAACTAAAAATCCCTAGTGGGCAGCTACTATTCTTTACTCCCTGTCGCTTATCCAGCTGGCTGGCTGTAGTTAAAAGTGTGCTGAGTGTTCAAGCTGTCAGATATTCAGTTTGGGGCATTGTGTTCCCTGGGACTCTTACAGATGTTGGCCTTGGCCTAGAAATGACTCTGGAGAGCACCTAAAATCTGCACAAAAGGCACGAAAGGCCGGTGTGTTACCTTCTGTCGGTGGCTCTTGTCTTGCTGAAACATGAAAGATCATGATCAGCAGTGGGTGATGTGGTGGAGGCAACTGCATCACTTACAAATTTGTTGATAGTTTTTTTGAAGAACATTTTTCTTGGGGGGAAGAGGGAGGAAGGGAAGGAGCACCTGGGTCCTGCATTGCAGGCTGCCATTGAGCTGGCAAGGTTTGTGTCTGCTCCGCGTGCTGTGGGGGTGGATGTGCTGCTCCTGCTCTGAGGTTACTGCGGAGCGTGTTGGGCTTTGTGYGCTGCGCTCTGCAGCGCCGCGGGTGTCCTGGTCTGCTGCTGTGGGGGATTTCAAACGGGCGGGAAGAGGCCTCCATCCTAATCAAGGTGCTACACGGAATGTGGATAAAATCCGTTTGCAAAGTTTCTGGGTTTCACATGATTAATGCTGCCCTGCACGGGGCTGCAGGTTGCACTTGCTGCTCCTCATAGTCAGTAACTGGAGCAGGGGTGGACGTGTGGAGGCCGCGGCCGTTCCCTGAGCCAGGCTGGAAGAGCAGAGCCGCAGGAACCCACGAGCGCGTAATCCGGGCGGCCCCACTGTGGTCAATTAAGCAGCCCGGCAGCTCGCACCACAGCATCTCTTTGGGAAACGCTCTGAGAAGTTTGCGCATGGCATCAGTGCGAGATGTCAAAGCTTGGAGAAAACTCTGTTGTTCTGGAAAAAAGCAGGGGGAAGGTGCGGGCTGTAGCCGGCGCTCCCGTCAGCGGCGCCGGGCCGGCTCGTTGCTCCCCGGTTCCRGCAGCGAGGCTGGCGCCGCTGCCCCGTGCCCCGCCGGCAGCGCCTGCGCTGCGAGCCCTCCCGTGCAGCCCCAGGGCACGAGGGGCGCAGGGAAGCGGCAGCGCCGCGGGGCTGAGCCAGGACCTGAGCCGGCACCCTCTGAGCACACACACGTGCTCAGGGATCATCCCTGAAAGCCTCAACCCCAGTTTACCGGGGCCCCCCGGGCATTTTCAGCGCGTAAATCARGACGGGAACCTGGCTGATGTTCCTCCCTCTGTACTCTGCCTTGGTCCCAGGTGAATGGCTCAGCTTGGATTTTGCGCCTGCTTTTGATCCCTGTGGAAGGGGAAGTCACTTGGAAACTAAGTGGTGGAAGAGTATCCATATGATACCCAGGTGGGATCAGAGAGGCCTCGTCCCGCTCAAAAACACCCCCTTCACATCTCACCCAGGCCAGAGATACATTGGGTTTTTGTTTGTTTTCTTTATGTTTTCTTTTAATCTGGCTCTCATGTTCAGTTTGTGCCCTGGGATTGTGTTCACCCGGAACCGCATCAGCGGGAAGCGGCACAGTTCAAGGCAGCGATGGATGGGAAGAGCCTCAGGAAACRGCAGAGCTGCCCACTGCCCACACAGGCACCGTTGGGAAGCGCCGCTGCSGGCTCCGCTCCGCGACTCGGAGCTCAAACAAAACGGATTTCTTTGAGAGCTGGGGTCAAATAAACCCTTTATGTAAACTAATAATGATTTTACAGTAACAGTGATTTATGCCCTAGAGCAACATGGGGGTAGAAGAGCCAATTCTTTTCTTTGATCCATAAAATCAGGGATCGGTTTTGCTTTTATTTATCTCAAATGACTTTGACCGTGCCGGGGGCTAAATGTATCGTGGATGTTGTGTTTGGGGATGTAAAAGCATTTGCTCTGGTGGAAAGGCGTGATCGCTGTGGTTGTTCTTAGTGCTGTCGTTACTGCAAGGACGGATGGGTTTGAACCCCCTCCTGACCACCACGGAGCAGGGAAGCTGCAGTAGCAACACACGGGCTGGTCTGAAACAGTACAATAAAATAAATTGGCAGTAGTCAATGCTGGAATGAGAAAAGAAGGGCAAACAGGCTTGGAGTTCACACACATAGTCTCCACTTTCAGCTTCCCAGATGTGGCTATAGGATGCTGGGACCTATTTCACTAGGTATTGCGTAGACTATAAAAGCCAGAGAGCCCCCTGAGAACTGTAGTGTCTCTTTATGTTTTTTAAATTGAAATTATGTCTAGAGATGCATTGCGTTTAATGATGTAGTATGAGCTAGAGAAAAATAAGTGATGGTAGATGGTCTGCATCAGTATCTGTGTGCGCATTAGGCAACAAACTGGTGTGTTTTCATGGATCCCGAAACACTGGGGGAAAAGGTGTTTGGGGGTTGTTTCTTTTCCTTTTCCATTTCTTTCCCATAAACAACTTTATTGCTCATGTCTTGGGAAGAGGCAGCTCACAAGGATATAACAGGAAAAGGAATCAGACTTTGAATATTTTGCATTTGTTTAAAAAAAAAAAGACAAAACCCCATCAAATCAGATTTAAGGATATTCAGTTCTCTCATCTTCTGTAGGGAGGTGATCCCTGTAGACTGAACACAGTCTAAGGGAATTTGCAATGGTCTTAACCTGGAGTAAAGCCCACAATATGCGTTTCTAGTGCATGTCCTGGAAAGCAATTTCTCAGCAAGAAAAAGCAAGTAAAAGAGATCTCAGATGACTCTCTTATTTTTATAACTGTATAAAACCTATTATTTGCACACCTAGGAAATGAACAGCGAACACTCTGTTAGTGAATGATGGACATGCATGCTCCAGATGTGAAGAATATCCCAGAGGAGAGCCTCCCTGTAAAGAATTTAAGCAGTTATTTGCTTTATGCCTGCAGTTTCTCTCTGATCCATCCTTCAGATACTCACAGGATGTTGGAGGGATTGCTTTATTCTGCCGTGTGAAAACCCAGCTAAGAAACCAGTAAAGGCAGCCCTGGAGTAATCAACTTGGCTGTACCATGGATAATTATTAGCTGTGCTTCTGCAACAAGTTCCTTGCTGGATGAATCTWTAACTTAGGAAAATAGCCTTTTCCAAAGACAGACAGAAATGCTATAAATCACTGTGCAATCTTGGTGCTATSAGCAGGAGCCTCCCTGGCAGGCGGCAGCAAGGCAGGGTCCTTGGCCGGTCTCGGCCAAGCAAGCGCTTCATTTTCACATCTGCTCTTCAGGTTCCGCTTTGTGCTCGACTCAGGTTGCTGTTTGCACAGATTCCTTTCATTTTTGCATCCCTCTGCTTACATGTTTTTGCACGTGTGAGATCCTGGCAAAGGCTTTGCATAATAAGAACTAGACTGAGGAACTTGGGAATTACTTTTCCAAACAGTGGTTGGCTCAAAAACCCAATAAAACAAGCCCCTGTTGATCTCTAGGAGCTGGGCTAATTTTCAAATGAAAAAAATCAGGTCTTCTGGTCCCGGGGGGACTTGGAATTACCAATCAGGATGAGAAAACACTGGAAAAAGTGGTGGTGAGGAGGGTTTTCTGCTGGAAGTTTTAAAATGAGGTTAGGAAAATGCCTGTTTGTGAATCTAATGCYGATGCTGCCTTCGTGCAGGTGCCGTCTGCTCAGGGGCTCTGTGCCCTGAATGAGCAACCGCAGACTGCGGAGGTGAGGAAGAGGAGGGAGGGAATCCTGCAGAAGCCCATCATAAACCCCAGGATGGAATATGGATGGGTGGGTGGATGGATGGATGGATGGATGGATGGATGGATGGATGGAGCTGTGTGTTTCTGTGTCCAAACAAGAGGCTTCATTCCCTTGTTTTGGTATGCGTCGCTGGTGCGCTGCTCGCAGTTATTGCACCACAGAAGCAGTAATAATCATGATAATGCAAAGAATAAATTTTGTTTATATGCTTTTATGGTGGTCTTTGCCATAATATTATGACACCTTTCTGGGGATTTATAACAGACTTATGCACAAATGCAAAATTAGCAGAAATTTTCTCTAATTTGAAAGTTGGTGTATAAGGCCTATTCTCAAAACAGCAGAGGAGACAGAAGTCGGAGCGGGTGCGGGCAGTTGATGAGCTGGGAAAATTTGGGGATCTTCTCTCTTTGTGGGCCTTTATGAACAATTTAGGGAAGTATCTACTAGGGACAGGTTAGGTGAACGTCTGCCAGGGGTAATAGGGGTGTTTTTAAGCCTGCTATGAGGCACAGGAAAGGTTGAGCTCCCGAGGTCGTTTCTGGTTCTGCCTCGCTTTGGTCGAGTGAGCCTTGCTGGAAATGTGGGGCTGGGACAAATTACTAAAAAGACCATTTCWAGAAACCCCTGTGGACATCAGGCAGTTAGTCCTAACTAACCAYGTTTTAGATCTCTGGGATGGTTTAAACATCAATCTCAATCTATAAGTGGAACGCCACGCTGGTGGAAGGTCCACATTTTACGGGTTGTCATCTAAAGGGCAGTTAGATACTTGCAACCACTTGGGGTTTCCAAATCATTTTATTTTATTTTGTTTTGTTTTATTTTTCGTGGAGCATAGGATCCAAACACAAAGGTTCTCTGAAGGTACTGGGAAATGTGGGAGAAAATTCTGTGAAACCTATTGCATGTGAAAGGGGAAGAGCTATTGCCTGTATTCTAATAGGGACACAAATATATATTAAAATAGATTAAGACCATTTGGGGAAAGAAAAAAAAAAAAAGGAATGGTAATAATCTCCTCTAATACTGTTAACCATTTAAAATCCAGCCTGCCACGATTTTATGTTTATTAATACAGAATAATTTTTGATAAATAATAGTCACGGGAAGCGGGAATACAATTAGGTTTTAAGTGGTGTTAATTAAAATATCACTTACCGTATATTGACTTTACGTGGTAATGTCGGAATAATCACCAGACGGAATGAATAATTGCACAATTAGTTCTAACACT